CTCGTATCTAGGCATAATAATTTCGATTCAGTCAATACAAATTATTGGAATTAATTCCATATGGAAATACTAATTTTCCAACAAAATCCGAAATTTAACTCAAAAATCGCTCGTGGGGCCCATGTCTCGGAACCCGACAAAAGTTACAAAATATAAACGCTCATTCAACCACAAGTTCAACCATAATAAAATTACTAAATTCTGACATCAACTCGACCTTTAAATCTTCAATCTAAACTTAGGGATCTTCACAATTTTTCCAACATAATCCACCAATTAAATGTTAACAATTATCATAGATTCGGGTACTTTTACCAAAATTGAGTTAAGAACACTTATCCTAATGTTTTCCTTGAAAAATCACCTCACACGAGCTCTTAAAATCCAAGTATGGGTAAAAATGACTAACCCCCGAATTATATGTTCTGTCCAGGTATTTTCGCATTTGTGGACCAATTGTCGCTTCTGCGGAGTCGCATTTGCGACCGCATTTCCGCTTCTGCGAAGAAGCACTGGAAAGCTCCCTTCGCACCTGCGGACAATGATCCTCTTCTCCGCAACTGCAGGTGTGACCCCATCTCCCGCTTCTGCGGTTCATTCCATCGCAGAAGTGCCTTCGCTTCTGCGGAGCTTGTTCCGCTTCTGCAACTCCAACTAGGCAACCCTTTGTCCGCTTCTGCAAGCCACAGCTCGCTTGTGCGAGTCCGCACCTGCGGTCAATCTCTCTGCAGGTGCGATGACATCATAAGCTGCAAAATTTCAGAATTTGCCTAAGTCTAAAAATTAATCCGATTTCGATCCGAATCACACTCGGGGTACTAGGGACCTTGTCCGAATATACCAACAAGTCTCGTAACATAACACGGACCTACTCGGGATTTCAAATTACATCAAACAACATCGGAATTACGAATTGCGCCTCGAATTGCACTTATGAGTTTTCAAGTTTCAAATTTACAGAACTCGTGCCGAAACGTATTAAATCAAATCCGATTGACCTCAAATTTTGCACACAAATCATAAATGACATAACATAGCTATTCAAATTTTCAGAAGTGTATCAAAAGATGGAACACGACCTTTCAGATTTTTCAATTGTCTGGCAAGCCACAAGTACTTTAATACAGTGGTAGAACAATGCTTTACAAGCAATGGCAAGGGGTCAACTATGATTAATGTCTAGAAAAAAACTCAAAGCACTGAAGTGGACCCTACAACAGCTGAACAAACAAGAATTTATTGTAGGTAGTAATATAAAGCTGGCTAGGAGAAGTTGGAGACCATACAAGCACAGATGAGTACCCCAGACAATTATTCAGAGGCTATCCAACAGGAGAAGATAGCCAAAATGGAACTGGAAAAATGGTCGATGGTAGAAGAGAGCATATTAAAACAAAAGTCGAGCGTACAATGGCTTAAACTAGGAGATTCAAATACTACATACTTCTATGCTTGCATGAAAAACAGGCAGACACAAAATCATATTAGCAAGTTGATCAACAGTGCAGGGCAAATAATACATAATGTGGATGAAGTGAAAGAGAAAATATTAAAGTTCTACAAAGGATTGCTGGGCACTGCTGCACCTCAACTACCTGCAGTGGTACCAGATATAATGCATAATGGATACACACTCAATCGAAGCCAATAACTGCAGCTCATTCAACCAGCCACAAAGGAGGAAATCAAGCAGGTTGTAATGGATATTGATAACAAAGCATCAGGGTGATGGATACAATGCTTTCTTCTTCAAGAAGACACGGCCAATTATTGAGGAGGAAGTCACTAAAGCAGTAGTGGAATTCTTTACTTCTACAGAAATGTACAGAGCTATCAATTGCACTACCACTACATTGATACCAAAAGTAAAGAACCCTTCCACCATTAAGGAGTTCAGACCAATCTCATGCTGCACAGTGCTTTACAAGATAATATCTAAAGTCCTAACATCTAGACTACAAGGAGTTATGGAAGATCTTATAGATAATTGTTAGATTGCCTTGGTGCCAGGTAGAATGATTACTGACAACATCATCAAGATCCATGAGCTAGTCAAAGGATATGGAAGGAGGAATATTTCACCAAGATGCATGCTCAAAATAGACATGCAGAACGCATATAACTATGTTGAGTGGGTATACATTGAGCAAGTATGAAGCTTCTGGGATTCCCTGAGATCTTTGTCAAATGGATATTTATATGCACAGTATCCTACTCAGTAATTATTAATGGTAGGCCATCTGAACCTTTTGAGGCAAAGAAAGGACTGAGGAAGGGGGACCCCTTATCCCTATTCCTTTTTTGTGATGGCTATGGAATACCTAAGCAGACTGCTGAAGCCCGTGAAGGACAGTAAGGAGTTTAATTTCATCCTAAATGTGCAAAGGTCAACATAGTACAATTAGGAAATGCTGATGATCTCCTCCTATTTTGCAAAGGAGACCTGCAATCAGTGAAGGTTCTCCACAAAAAATTCCAGGCTTTCTCTGCAGCTTCAGGGCTAATAGAAAATGCTAGCAAGAGTTGTGTTTATTTTGGTGGTGTTTGTAGCATGACTCAGCAACACATTATGGATATGTTGGGGTTCTCTAAAGGGGATCTACCCTTTAGGTACCTGGGAGTACCACTGAGCACAAAAAGATTAACAGTTATCCAGTGTGAACCCTTGATAGAGAAGATGTTAGGAAGAATCAATAGCTGGACAACAAAGTTTTTGTCATATGCTGGAAGAGCAATGCTAGTTAAGAGTGTATTATTCTCTATCCAAATATTCTGGGACCAAGTGTTCATCATGCCTAAGAAAATCATTCAGTTCATAGAGGCAATTTGTAGGAGATTTTTGTGGACTGGTGTTGCTGAGCCTACAAAGAAGGCACTGATTGCTCGGGACAAGATGTGCACCCCAAAGGTGGCAGGTGGGTTGAACTTCATTAATGTGGAACTATGGAATAAAGCAGCCATTGCAAGCTCTTATGGAATATATGCACAAAGAAGGAGAAATTGTGGGTAATATGGGTGCACTCTTACTACATCAAAGCAAAGATTGTATGGGATACATGCCCAAAGAGTGCATCATGGGGTTATCCAAAAGATCTTCAAGGCAAAGCATTACCTAGAAGCAACAGGATATATCATGGAAGATGTTCAACAGATGGAGGTATTCTCTACTAAGAGAATGTACAAAGCCATGCAAGGAGAATTTTAGAAGGTGCCATGGAGGAAACTGATTTGCAACTACCAGGGATTTTACCTAAATGGATATTCATCCTACGACTAGCACTGCAAGACAGGTTCTCTACAAAAGAGAGATTAGCAAAATAGGACATTATCTCAGACCACATATGCTCATTGTGTGGACGTGAGAATAAAACACTGCAACACTTATTTTTTAAGTGTGAAGTGACTGGTTATATATGGCAGAAGTTGCTGCAATGGCAAAGCATATAGAGAAGGAAGAAGGATTGGCAAGAGGAGCTGAAATGGATAGAGCAGGTTGGCAAAGGCAAGAGTGGAGGGGCATCAATATGCAGAATGACTCTAGCAGCAACAGTATATCATCTTTGGCAAGAAAGGAACAATGTGATTTCCAGAGTAAGAAGAGGTCGGCCACAGCAATCCTAAGACTTATCATTCAGGAGATCCATGTCAGGGCAAGTTTGTTTCCTAAACTAGTGAGGAACCTGAAAAAGCTGAACTGGTATCCTGACTAATACTAGAAAGACTAGAAGTACTATGGTAGGAAATGCTGGAACGAATAGACAACTCATACCTGGGGCACCATGTCCAGTTGGAGTTGCGCTAAGGATAGTCTGATCTGTATGAATTGTAAATAATTATACTTGGTAAATAAAATCATTTTACTTACCAAAAAAAAATATTATTAAACCCCGGAGCTGTTCTAATTCGATTCAGACAGGTTTTTAGATAACTCCCATCTGTTTGTTTGAGACCGAGTGTATGACTATTCTTATTTCCCAGGGGCTTATATAGTCATTAGACTCTCTAACCCTATAGATACTGACTGCCCCCTTCTAGTGGCAATACTCGTGCTATGAACGAACAAAAGGAAAAACTCGCAACACTTTGATACATGATTTCTCTTGGTATACACACTTTACTATCCTCTTCTTCTGCTAAGTTGATACCAAGCCATGCAGAAAAGGCTTTCCACTAGAAGTTCAGGATTTGCAGATTTGGGTAGCTTTACCATTCAAGATTATACAACATCCTTCTGCCATTAAGGATAAAGCAAGTGCATTTTAAAGTTCCTTAGAGAAAGAACTAACCAAAACCGCCTAGTAATATATAGACTATGCAGATGCAAACAATTCTCCCTGAAAATATTGGCCTCCATATGTTTGTGACAAAAAAAAAAGAAGGATTTCAGGAGGGGTACAAAATGTGTGCCATAATCATCAATGACTAAGTTGTCTTATGTTCTAGCAGATCGACCTTAACCTATCGGTTTTAGGTTGTTTACTGAGTAGTAAGATACAAGCACCATTAACAGCTGAAGAGTCATTTGGTCAATCTGGGCAAAAGTCAATAGCCAATCTGTTGTCAATTAATGGCACTTTGCCAAAGGAGGAGACACAGATAAATGATTTCATTATCCGAATTGTTTTCAGGTGTGACACTTACAATTGACCATGCACCCTCGCTGGTTAATGGTGTAACTGCAATTCAGAAGAAGCTATGAATATCCAGTATGTTCATCCCTTTTGTTATTCTCCACCATTGCATTATCCTTTATATCTTGTATCATTTTCAAGATTTGCCTCATTGTTGGTCTTTGTTCTGGTGATGTCAAGCTACATATACTAGCAAGGTCAACTAGCATTGCGAGCCATCTATCCTCCTCATTATCATCCTCCCTCATAGCTCTAACCCAATCTGCCATATCAGGGGGAGAGAGATACGGATGCTGAGATGGAGGTTTACCCGTTAAAAGCTCTAATAACAGAATGCCATAGGCATAGACGTCAGACCCTGGAGTGGCTTTTCGTGCAGATTTGCGAACTTCTGGTGCTTTATAGCGAGCTGCATCAGGATCATCATCGGAAGAAATGTCTGCAAGCGCGATGAGGGAGTAGTCTGTTAGACAGGCCTCAAAATCAGACCCTAGAAGCACATTTGAGGACTTCAAGTTGCCATGAGTGAGCTTTGATGCTTGATGTATGTAAGCAAGACCCTGAGCCACATCTTCTGCTATTTTTAGACACGATGTCCAGTGAAGGGGCTTTGCCCTTGTCGATCTTGACCCTGCCACGTAAAACAGAAAATAGGACACAATAGGTAAGATACAACAAAATCTTAGTATTTAGGTGAAGGAAGCATCATTTTAAACACACAAATTACATAAAAAGTCCATTGATAACAACGAACATGGAAGAGCGATATAGAGTGCTCCTATGTATCTTCCTAATTTTATCCGATGTACACGAAGGAACAGGGTGCTCTAGAATAGTATCATTGAACTTTTTCTTCTCTAAATTAACAACCTTTCATCTAACGGTTTTCACATAGGTAAGTTGAATATGTAAGAATGTACGCACATTTTGGTTAAGGAAAAGAAACACAAAAATTAAGGATAACATAAACAACATTAACCCAAGGGTGTGGCTAACAATCAAAAGTGGATGAAAACCGGTACATGTGCTAGTGTGCGCGGGCTCGAGAGAAAACAAAACTAAGGAAAATATTCTAGTCAACAGAAAGGAGAGACGGAGCAAACACATAAACATAAATATCAAAAGAAAGACACAAGGACCATTTGCCTTAATAAAAAATGAAAGGTAGTTGGGGGAAATAGACTAGTGCAATCAACCCATACGGATCAGTCAGTGACAGCCTGAAACCAAAACACACTACTATTTGACTGCCCTGTGAACGCAAACATTGCAATTGTCGGTAGTGAGCTCAGTGGGATCCCATATTAAGCATCCAAACTAAAAGCTAAAAAAAGACTCTCTGCTACTGCAACCACTGAATGATCCAAAAGACTACAGCCCACTTCTGTCCACAAAAGAGAAAAATGCTACTAGTTGTTTGGTGCAGACAACTCACTCTTCCACTGCTTCCTCTTTCCACAGGTCCACCAAATTGACTCCACAGTCCACATAGACCAATTAACAAAATGACCACACACACAAAAAAAATGAAAAATAAAACCATTTCAAATGAGTAATCAGCAAAGTTAGAAACTTTTACCATGAATGAGATTGAAGAGACTGCCATTAGGCTGATAATCATAGATAACAAGCCTTTCTTGTTTAGCCTGAAAGTATGCCCTAACTGCTACCAAATTCGGGTGCCGTAACATTCCTACTTCCTCCATGTGTTGCTCAAACGCTTCCCCGCTCGTAATTGAAGTTTTACAAGCATCCAATCGCTTTACTGAAACTATCAATTGACTAGCCATTACAGCTTTATACGTTGTTCCAATTGTGCCCCTCCCAAGTAGCTCTGCTGACGCTCTCATTAGTTGCTCTAAATTATACAACTCTGTTTCCCCTGAACAAAATATCAGATTTCCACTCTTTAATTGCTGTTGAGAGACTTGAGCCACTTTCACTTCCTTTTCTAATTTTATCTCTAATAATTGGCTATTATCAGCTGGAGCAGAAGTAGTCGCGTTCACTGCATTGTTCGTAATGGTCTCAATGGCACATTTTGTTGCTTTCGGTTCAGTTTCACTTTCTTCTCTTCTCTTTTTCACCAAAGCAAAAAGACACAGAACAGCTGCAATTAAAATCAAAGTTCCGACCACAAAACCCAAAACGACACCAACTTTTTTGTGCTTATGCTGAGGCGGAGGAGTAAGAAGTAGACCCTGTGACTGTGCATCTTGGTATAACGGTGAGGGCCGGGGGGAGGCAGCAGCTGAAGGCGAATCAAAGAATGGAGTTGACGGGCAAGGGGTATTAATAACTTTACCACAAAGATTAGGGTTCCATAAGAATGAGCGTTCGTTAAATTTCTTCAGAGTCGGAGTAACAGGTATTGAACCAGTGAGGTTATTTTTTGACACATTGAAGATTTGAAGTTGGGTTTGGTTCAAGGGCGGAATCGAACCGGTGAACCAGTTAGAATCAAGCCGGAGATAGTTCAACCGGTCTAGAACAGTAAGCTCAACAGGGAGTGAACCGGAGAGATTATTATGGGACAAATCGAGGATAATGAGGCGGTGAAGAGAAAGAAGAGGAAGAGGAAAAGTTCCAGAGAAAAAGTTATGATCAAGAAACAGAGTTTTAAGGTTTGTAAGACCAGAAAGGTCAGGGATAGGACCAGAAAGTGAATTGTTCCTAAGATTAAGGATTCGGAGTTGGTCAAGATGAGTTAAAGTGTTGGACTGGAAAGTACCTCTAAGACCAAAACTTTGAAGAACAAAACGTACAATACGACCTTGCACACATTTCACTCCTTGCCATTGACAATAGTCAAAACGCTCGTTAAGTGTGTAAAGAAGCTTATTGTCAAGGTCAGCTTTGGATTTGAAGGATAATAAAGAAACAGCGTCGGAGGGAAGTAAAGAGTTTAAAGGTGCAGATGGTGTAGTAGAAGAAGAACAAAAGTAGAAACTAGAAAATAGTTGAAGGAAGCAGAGAACAAGCATCAATGGGAACATTGCAAGTTTTCAACTAACAAAAGCCAGTGTTTGGTTTAGTGACTAAAGGTCAAGTTAGTGTTTGTTTGTCATGTTGTTTGGTTTAATGTAAGAAACGAGGTTTGAAAAAATGGACTGAATTTTGGGAGACAGTGAGCTATCGGTTTCCGAGAGGGGGGGAGAAAAGGGGGGTAGTAGGGGGTGAAGGAGAAGTAGTACTTTGTTGCGGAGCAGCTGGCTTAAAACATGGGTCAGTTGTCACGTGAAAGGTAAGAGTTTTGAAGAAAATTTGGAAATTGTTTGGGTATAGTCATTCGTCCGTCGCTCTGAAACTTCTGCTAATTTTATAGTCATTTTGTTTATTCAAAGGCCCGTGAATGTTTCACATTTTTGAATGTCTTAAC